TCCCCTCCCCTCCCCCTCCTCCTCCTCCTCCTCCTCCTCCTCCTCCTCCTCCTCCTCCTCCTTCCCTCCTCTTTTTTGCCCCTTTCCCCTCTTTCCCCCGCACTCCTGCTCCTCCTCCACACCTTGCTCCTCCCACTCTCCGTCCTCCCCCGCCCTCTTTTCCTTCCCTCCCTCCTCCTCCTCCGATCAACTAGCCTCTTGCTCTCGGATCAGCGTCGAAAAGTCTCCACACAACGCACTGCAGGCTGCCGGCGTCCTGTCCCGTCCTGTCTCTCCCCCCTGGGCATGAACTTCTACCTCCTGCTCCCCCTCCTCGTCCTCCCCTGCTGGACAGATCGACTGCTCCTCTTGGCGCTGCTCCAAGAGGAGCAAGACGCTAGTCAGCTCGACACTTCGCGGCCCCTGCACCAGCCTGACCGTGACCTTCTCCTCCCTCCCCTTCTCCCCTCCGTTGTCTCCCGCTGCCCCGATCCGGCTCCTGAGCACACGGTAGAAGGTACCCCTCCCTTCTCCCTGCGCATCGACTGTGAGCCTAACGGGTCCTGCCTCCTTTCTCTTCACCTTGACAACCTTCAGTGCAGCAAGTCTCCTCTCTCCCAGCATGATCTCAACGAGCCCACTCCCTCCCTGCTCGTCCTCCCCTTCCACCTCCTCCAGCGCCACGTCCTCGCTCAGCAACACAAACTTCAGCTCGACATCTGCTGCTCCTTCGGCGAGAAGAATTTTCATCCTCCCTCCCTCCACCTCCACCAAGTTCCCATCGGTGAGGACAAACGGCCCTTGCACTGCGATCCTGTGCCGGAGCATGAGGTCGTCCAGAGAGTCGGCGGCGCAACCACCATGGAAGAAGAGCAGCACGAGGACGGCAAGGCAGCCGGCAGCAGGCAGCATGCGAGGAAGCAGCGAGGTAAGAGGAGTCATCTCAAGTAGAGCTCATGTACCCAACCGGGCCCCCTCTCTCAACTCCTCCTCATTCCACCCCACCACTCGTCCACTGCATCTATCTCGCTCGCTCTGCCTGCATCTCCCATACCCATCCCCTTCCTCCATCGTCGTCCATCGTTCTCCTCGTCATGGTCCTCTTCGTCCTCTTCCTCGTCTTCCTCCTCCTCTCCCTCCTCCTCCTCCTCCTCCTCCCTAGTGAAACTTCAGGCCGTCTCAATCAGGATTCCTGTCGGGCGCTTTCTCACCCCACCCTGGGCAGGGTAGTCAAGGGGAATACGGGGGTACTCAAAAACAGGGCTGACATGGCGATACGTCGCTCCCTCCCCTCCCCTCCCTCCTCCTCCTCCTCCTCCTCCTCCTCCTCCTCCTCCTCCTCCTCCTCCTCCTCCTCCAGCTGCTTGCTCGCCCCCGCCTGCTCCTCCTCCTCCTCCCTCTGCTGCTGCTGATGATGCAGCTGCTGCTGCGGCGGCCGCTGCTGCTGCATCAACATCAACATCAACACGATCATGGTCAACGACTCCTCCACCACAGGCGGCGGCGGGGGCGGCG